ATATTCCAACACTCTCCTCACTTGTGAGTCTTTCGTAAGCCGAAACCCACAGAGCAAGCCAGGTAGAGAAGGTGAGGCCAAGCCCATAGCAGGCCGGGTAGAGAGAGTCATTGCAGGTCCTAAGAAATGTCCAACACGCCTTCTCACTTGTGAGTCTTTCGTAAGCCGAAGCCGACAGAGCAAGTCGGGTAGAGAGGTGAGACCAAGCCTATAGCAGGTCGGGTAGAAAGAGTAATTGCAGGTCATAAGACAGGCCCAACACGCCCCCTCACTTATGAGTCATTCATAAGCCCAAGTCCACATAGCAAGTTGGGTACATAGGTGAGCCTAAGCCCATAGCATATTGGGTAGAGTGAGTCATTGCAAGTCCTAAGGCATGCCCAACACGCCCCCTCACTTATGAGTCCTTCGTAAGCTCAAGCCCACATAGCAAGCCGGGTAGAAAGGTGAGCCCAAGCTCATAGCAGACCGGATAGAGAGAATCATTACAGGTCATAATACAGCTCACTCTGATATCATATCAGAACTAGTGGAAGAGAGTCATTGCAAGCCCATTACATGTTTGTACAAAAAAATATATAAGAATGTGGTTTTTCTTAATCAATAAATACATTTTTTTTTCCTTAATATTTTTGTATACAAAAAAACATGCCCTAACATTACATTTTTTTTTTTTTGAAACGATAGATTATATAAAATAAAACAAATAATTACAACTAGACATCAGCTAGAATAAGCCAAGCGGCCATCGAGCCGAATCCAGGGAAGCCTACACAAAATAGACATCAGAATCACTACAGACATCAGAATCACTACGCTAACACACCCACAAAACAGACATCCTATACTAAAAACTCCCAAAAAGAAGAATCACAACACTCCCACAAAGAGAGAATCAAGCTTCAACGTTGAAGAATAACGCTCCCACGAGGGAGAATCGCTCTGCAAAAAAGCAATTAACACACAAGACACAAAACACCCAAAAAACTACAAAAGCAAAACAACACAAACAACACTCAAAACATTAAAATCTAATAGAATAAGCCCTCCTTCAACCGCAAACAAACAACAGCACAGACGACGGTCCGACATCTGAAGACGACCCGCCAAGAGGAAGAAACCTAGCTCGAAAAAATAACCCAAAAACTCCGAAGATCGGCTAGCTGGACCCTCCGCCGAACCAGATACCTTACCCGATCGGGCCGCTCCCAGAACAGCAACCAGAGCTCCGCCCCCAACCCCCGCTGACCCAAAGCACCGCTTTCGGCCACACCAAACCAAGCTGCCCTCACCATCCCAAAACCCACCAAAATCAGCATAAGGCAGCATAAGCAACCCGGGGGAAGAGGCTCACCCAACTCCGGCCATCTCACCGGAAAAGGACGGAGTCAGCTGATCTCCCACTTCTTGGAGCCGCCGAACCCAAATCGACTAGTAGGCAACCGGAGAGCGCGGCGAGATCCTACTATGGAGAGGGGTCGCCAACACCAGACAAGGAGGTCTTCTCGGTCCGGTCGGCGCCGAAGCGCTTGAAGGAGGCGATTTGAGGTCCGATTAGAAGGGTTTTTTGAATTGAGGGTTTTCGTACAGTAGAGAGAGAAAAAACGCTTTTTAATTTATCCGGTTCACCCCTAACATTACATATGACAAAACAATTGTTCAAAAAAAAAGAAAGGAATTTATTCCCTTCAAAAAGTTTAAAAACTTGGACCTTGGATTTATTGTCTTAATTTTGATTGAGAGGACATATGGCAAATTTACATTTGGTCACATAGCTATGAACTTTTAATTGAACAAACAAATTAAAGAGAAAAAAAAAAGACATATAAAAGAAAGTGAAAATCCATAACTTATCTCAACGAACAATCAAAGATAGATAGATAGATGCCTTGCAGAAATTCTATGGTGCCACATGTGGCACCATAACATGTGCTGGCACCATAGAATTTCTGGATGCCTTGTCAGTTGTCTCAACTTTATTTATTAATAATAATAGTAAAAAAGATTTAGAAATGCAGCAGTGTTAAAAACTCTTGAGGGAGAGTTTTGTCGCCCTTGTGGTCCTACCTGGATCGATTCTGGATTAGTCGGTTCCCTTGTGGATCCGGAAACCGGAAGATCCCTGTACCAAAAAATAATAATAGTAAAAAAAAAATCTTTTGAAGAATATTCAAAAAAAAAAAAAGTCTTTGTAAAATGTTTCCATATTTGGCCATTTCTTACTCTAATGGTTCGCTGTGGAAATCTTCAATATGAAGACTACAATAAAATAAATAAATAAATAAATAAAATTAAACAAAACTTTTATATATTCTAAATTTTGACAAAATCAATGATTTCTATGATAATGAGATAAGTAATAAAAATAGTCAAATTTAGCCCGATATGTTACAATTATATTGATATATATTTATCCTACATCATCCTTAAAGTTTACAAATAAAATAATAATAGATAAATTAATGATTATT